TATGTAAATGCCCGTGATGTGTGTGAGGAGGAACATTCAACCCTTTGACTCAAAAGGAAAATGAAACTCGATCATCTTGAAAAGATATAAAAGCAAACATTCAAATGTTAGTATGACAATGAAAATATGAAGCAATTAAAACTTCAATAAATGAATCATAAGTTAACTAAAGATTCAAACTCATAATTTCCACCAAACGACAATGTGTAAACGACTAACAACCTGACTCTCTCAAAAGTCCCCAGTGGAGTCGCCATGCTGTCATAACCGTTTTTAGGTGGAACAATTATTTATTGTTTTAAAAACAGTTACGACTTTAATTTGGGAAAATTGGTATTTTAGATTAATTTGAATAGAGCCGCCATTGACCTTTGAGTTAGGTAGGTCGAATACCTAAAAATGTCTTTTCAAACAAATTTTAAGAAAAATCATTTTTAAAGACAAAAAGCTTATCTATGTTTACCAAAGATTCGATTAAAATGGGTTCGGGAGTCGGTTACGCGTGGGGAAGGATTAGCACCCCACAACGCCCAAAATTGACATTGTGTCACTTACACGTTGTTGTATTGGTGGAAATATTGAATTAAATATCAAGTTAAAATATGATTCATTTTTTTAATATTGATTAATTTACTTCAAATTAATAACTTAAAGGAGGAAATTCAAAGGATTGAAATGAAAACAAACTAATATTGTAAACTTAAATACAAATAGCAAAAAATAAGTATTTAAATTTATAAAGACCAAAATATAGAAAAACCAAAATTTTAAGGATCAAAATAGCAAAAATAAAAAGTTAAAGGACTAAAATAAAAGTTACAACTAAACCAAAATCTAAATAGAAAATATTAAATAATACAAGTACTAAAAAATGAGAATAGCCCAAAAATAACAATAAGGACTAAAATAAAATAAATAGAAACATAAAAGGGCACAACAATAATTAAAGCATATTCAAACTAGTGATTAAAATGTAATAATTACACATATCATAGCCAAATTGTAATATTAACAAAAATACACAACAACCTGGAATTAGTGACTAAAATAAAATCTTTGTAAACATGGTGAACAAATTTGAATAACAACAGAGAGCACACAACACACTAACTTAGTGACCAAAATGAAATAATAATAGATATTACTACCAAAGTCAAATAATAATCAAAATATCATAACAGGTAGTAACATGATTAAAATACGAATAATGAAAAATAAAGGCTCTAAATCAAATAATAAAGAACTTCAGTATATACCTGAAATGTGAGATTACAAAACCCTGGGGACCAATAGTGTAGTTATCCCATGACTCGAAAACACGGATAAAGTTTCGTTGGGGTATGAAACGATGTCATTTTGGTTTGGGTATTTAAACCCAAAATTGAGGCCCTTTATCCCCAAATCCCCTCCTTTTTCTTTAGCTTCAGAAATATGAGAGAGAGAGAATTGATAATTCTCTCAACTTTCATCAGATGAGAGAACAAATGCCGCCGCCGATGGAACTCGCGGCGGTCGGTAGTGGCTGAAGTTAACACAAACCCCCAAATTGACCCTCTCTTTACCCTCAACAAAAATCCTAGCTTTCTTTAGCCTAAAACCCACCCGAATACTCCATATCTAGTTTTTTACCTTTCAAAAATTTGGAAATCCGGTGACCGTCGGGTTTCTTGATCTCCAAACCGAGGTAAATGTTCTCTCTTTTTCTCTATGGCTCCTGGTTTTGGTTTAGGTAGGATTTTCCTTTTCTTTTCAGTGTTTTGTTCAAATGGATCTATCCCCCTTTTTCAACTGAATCCCTCTGTCTCTTCCAATCACCTCCCTCGATCTGATTTCTGAATGCCCTCTTTATTGTTGCATGGATGTAGTGGTAGATTAGGCAGAGGTTAAATCACATAATTTTTGGGGTTTAGGTAAGGTTTGGTGTGATTTGCTTTTGACTTTGGTTTGTGGAATTTTCGGTGACTGATTTGATGGATTTGTGTGCTGTGCAGCATGGTATGGGTAGGGATAAAAATTGGTGTTTATAGACTGCAAAGCCCCAATCAACAAATTAACATTACCGAACAATCTCCAATCTTCAACCAATGTAACAAGTATAAAGATGATACCTGAGTAATACATGATTCCAACTTATCATTCTAGAGAAACAAAAAGAAAACACTCAAAACGTCATCTAATTGGAAATCCCAAAGCAAAGAAGACAAATCAATCTTTTTTCTCTCCTTTAACAGTGTTCGAAAAGAAAACAAATACACAACTTACAGATTCTTGAATTCTTTCTTTGAAGATATAAAATAGATCTTGAGCTTTAGACATCTTGGAAGTGTTGGAAGTAACTGATATAATGTAAACAAAAGCAAAGAAGATCAGTGTTTCCCCCAGAGTTTTGAATGATAGCATTTACGAGGGAAGATAAAGGCTTGAAGGGACAACAAAAGAATGAAAAAAATGGATTCGTGATAACGGATGTTGGATAGGGAGTTTTCTCATATTATATAAGTATGAGCCTTACGGATGAACCATTGGTTTAGAGATGAAGTAGGGGAAGTGGTGGAGAAGATAGGGTTGGGGAAGAAAACATATGAAAAAAGGGGTAAATTGATATTTTATCCCTGAACTATTTTGGATTTACAAAAAAGCTCATGATTAGTAATTTATCTAAACTTTAAGGGTTCAAATAAAAATTAAATCTTTTTACTAACGTGGCACATCATCCAACTCACAACAGCTAACGTCTTAGTGAGCACATCTTAATTAAAACGAAATAAAAGTAACCATATAATATTGTTTTTGAATCCAATGACTATACGTTTATAAAATCGAAACAAAAGTGACAAACTCCGTAGTTTACCCTTAAAAAATTATTCAAATAAATTAGTGGGTAAGACGCATATATCTAATTCTATTTTTTGTACTTTAGTTCTGTCTTAATTATGTGTAAATAAAATATTTGTATTAGTAAATTATTCAAGTGTAAAATAAAACTAAATTTAATTCAAGATGTTAACTCTTGATTTTAACAGGAATTTAAACAAACTTTTTTTTATAAACTTATTTCATATATTTGACATAAAATTAATACTCTCAAAAAAATCATATAGGAAATAATTTTGAGTATAAATAAAAATAAATTCAAATAATTTAATGTTATTTCAAATAAAATTTCAACTCAAATAATAATTTTTATTCGAGATTGCTCGTCGATTCATTAGACATGTGACCTTTATACCACTAATCTATAACATTTTAAACTAATTTCGGAAGTATTTTTTTTAAATGACAATTGGATTTCATTAATAATGAAATGAATCAAAATTATAACGCATCAAAATATAGATAGAAATTTGGAGACAATGGTCACCAAAATATTAATACAAAAGTAAACTATTAAACCTAAAGATACAAAGAAAAATAAAACATTTCATTGAGAATGACGACCAACATCAAAACCCAATAACCTTCATAAAAACTCTGTCTCTACCGAATGAGACACTTTATGAGGTGATAAAGAAGTAGAAAGCGAACCAAATAATCTGGAAGGCTGCTTCTCTACACAATTCTAATTACATCGGCAAACAACCTTTAACCAAAAGAGGATATCTGACTATATGTGTCCACCGAAAAACTAATCAAAAAATAAATGTGCTGATGGTTTTTGTGTGAGAACTAAAACGACCGCAAATATATGCGAAAAAATACCAAAAAACATAAAAATTGTGCCACAAGAGCATAGAAAACGTGTGCCACAAAAAAATGTCACAAGGACAAAGATTTTTATTTAATATTAAAAAGGATTTAAGAAAAAATAAAATAAAAACATAATATAAAAATAAGATGGCACAAAAATATTGAAAGAAAAATAAGTTGAAAGAAGGGAGCTGCTAGTGTTTGAAAAGATTTTGTAAGTTTTAATTTGTGGAGTATTTTTAAACGCTTGTGATTGGATAAGAAGATGCTACTGCGAAGATGACGCCGGACAGAATAGTGATTATCCTGCAGGCGCTCCAACAGATGATTCACAAGAGAAAATTCTCCCAAAAAACTAGAGAAAAAAATCTCTAGGGTTTAATAAAATATTATAAAATCAAACAATGCCCAAAATCAGTCCACAAGCCGGACTATTATAGCCAAAAATCATCTTTATTCGAATTTTGTCAAAAATAGCAAAATCTCGAAAATCACTCTAAATTGAAATTCGAAATAAAATAAGCAATCTCCAAAAAAATACGGCCTAAATCGGATTTAAATTGACTTCCTAATTGACAATCGAAATATTACCATAAATAATAAAAAATATCTAAATCTAGTGATTCGGAGGGGAAAACGGCAGAATTTGAGGTTGAAAAAAAGGCCACATGGAGCATAGCTCATGTGGAGAGCGTGCGCGTCGAAAAGAGCTTTCCGGATTGGGGTCTTATGCGCGATTCTGACACCGTAGCCAAAGTTATGGCCAAAAGACTGAAACATACTTAAAACGACCCCAATGAGGAACATATCACAATCAATTCCCGCCTTTGCGCTGATCTGCCAATGCATGGTATCTCAGCGCCATCAATGTGCAATCTGACAGCTAAACATCATCTGTCTTGGATCCCCCTGCATCAGAAGATCATTGATGATTCATTTTACCTTGATAGAAACTTCCTTCTCCTTCATTAGTTGATATATATCATCTCATGTGATCACACTTCTCAGAAGTATCATCGTTCTCTCTTATTAATATTTTTCTAGGATAAGTACATAGGTATTGATAATATAAACTTTTTGTACGAGTGAATATAAATTTTTTTTAAGATAGATATCATTAATAAAATGAACAAATGGCATAAATAAATTCGAATTTCAGGACGGATAGAACACATGCATCCGCTACAGACTAATGTTCAGTGCTATGGGTGTAAAATGAAGGCCGACTTGCATTGTGTTTAAGCTGTGACACACCAGATCAAGATAACTGCGATAGGGTATTAGATCTTGAAGACAGATGATTACTATAATAGAAAGAAAGGAAGAAGGTGAGAGCTCCCTTCTATGATAAAAATGGGTTAAAGAAAGGTGAATGGAGTCCCGAGGAAGATCATAAACTAAGGTCTTTTATCGAGAGATATGGCCATAGTAACTGGCGTCAACTTCCTAAGGTTGCTGCTATACTTTCTTTCTTTTATGGAAGGAAGCTGATTCGGTTGTTTTCTTTATTTCGTTTTGAGATCAAAAGAGAGATTTTATTTTTAGTTTCCTGATGGGATTATCTGCATCTAATTTGACCTTTTTCCGACTGAAAAACCTAATCAAGTTTTAGTTGGCGTTTGATATCTAAGTAATTGTTAACTGATTCATGTGAAAAATCTTTGGATCGTGTTCATAGAATAAGCTTTTGGGGTTATTTGTTTTAGGTCTTAAAAGGTGTGGGAAGAGTTGTAGATTAAGATGGATGAATTACCTACGTCCTGAAGTAAAACACGGGAATTTTACTGAAGAAGAAGGTGCATTGATCATCAAATTACATGAACAATTTGGAAACAGGTTATATCCACTCAAATGATCACTTAAAACTATTTACAACAATATGCAAGCATGTAATCGTCAACTTGCGAATTCAATAATATTTTAATTTTTAACCAACAATCCCTGACGTAATTTTCTTATGTACACAGATGGTCCACCATCGCTAAAAGCTTGCCTGGAAGATCGGACAACGAAATAAAAAACCACAGGCACAGATCGGTCAACTTGCCTGGAAGATCGCTAAAAACGTTATAGCGGCCGCGATATTGCGGTCGTGCCACCGTCTGAAACCACTATTCATGGTTTTTGCGGTGGATCACGGATTCACACCGATCACGGTCGATTGCGTCTGTAATTTAACGGGAAACGGAAGATTGTACCGATAACGGGACGCAATCACCGTTATTCAACCGTGATTTGTCACTGCAAGCCTGCAAGACGACTAGCTTCAGTTAAAACACTGCCGTAGCTTCAGTTAAAACATTGTCGTGACTTTCTTTGTTGCAGTTGTTATGGAAGAAGAAGAAAGGAAGGAAGTAAGGAAGGAGAAGAAATAGAAAAAGAGAAAAAGTCTCTGTTGAACCCACCTTCATCTGGGTCCTTCTGTTTTGAAACCAAAACTTGATCTGCTTGGGTGCCAGTCCCAGCTCCCTATTCAATTGTAACCTTTGCTTCTCATCTAGGTGTGGGCACTCCTTGAACTTTCTTCACGTTTTAACCAACAAAAATAACAAGCAGCAAAGAAAGTCACGGCAGTGTTCTTAGTAAGAAGAGAATCAACGCACAAAGCTTAAAGGAAGAAAAAAAGGGAAATAGATGAAACACACGGCAGCTCGATTGAAAGCAAGGAAAGAAAAAACATAGTGAAACAAGATCCACTCTTGGAGAAATAGGGCTAGAATTCTTGATATAATAAAAATGGGTAATTCACATAATAAGTCCATGTATTCTCGATGATTTTTTTTAAAATGGCCAACATTTTTGCTTCTTTTACAAAATAGTCGCCAAAATTTCTGGAAGTTTCAATCTAGTGACTCGACATGCAGCTTTGCTTTACCTCAATTCACTGCACTATTGGCCGTGAGATCGCCGCCTATAGAAGTCGCGACAGATAACCTCAATTGCGTGAAAATATTCTGGAGTTGCCGATTCTAGTGTTTTTGTTATACTTATATTTAAGATTTTGCCTTTATATTTTAATTTAATACAATTTAATTCATCTATTTTATAATAAGTTCAAATAGTTAATATAGTTCATTATTCAAATTAAAATGTTTACTTCATCTTTTCACTTAGAAAACATTTTAAAGTCTATTTGGTTAAACTATATTATTATATATATATATATATATATCAATTTCGTTTAGAAAACATTTTAAAAATCATTAAAAATGATTCTTTATAATTATAATTATTTTATTATGTTTTAAGATAAGTTGTGCAAAATTTAAAAAAATTCACGACCGTGTAATGACCGTGGTGGCATCCGTTATGTCCGCAACCGCGATAAACGCGACGCGATCGAAAATGTGACCGAAAACGCTATTTAAAACCCTGACAACATCTGATGCCAAAGAAGACTCTACTTGTCCAAGTGAAACCACCCAGAATTCTCAAGGTGAAGCTAAAAGCATCCTTACTGATACTCCGGCCATCATGATCTTAGAGAGTTCACTTCTGTCTCCAGCAACATCTTCAATTACTGAACTGTCCTCCTTTAGTTCGGACAGAGGTTATATGTCCGGATTTAATGTTGTTAGGGGTGTAGAAGATACCTGTTTTCCTTCAGAAATATACGAAGCTCAAAGCAGTGGACATTTCTGGAGTCAGCCCTTTGTTGCAGACAATATCTACAACCAAGATGGCTATCCATCAGCCATGGAAAAATGCGGAATTGAGCTGCTATTTCCTTTTGACGACATGTATTATGAGGATTTTGTGTATTTTCTCTAAGTCTTGATGCAAGTTTAGGACATAAAATTGTTTTCCAGTTTTCTTTCTGATGCTAGACCGTGATTAGTTGGGGACTTTTTTTTATTAGCAAATGAAGCCTTATTGAAAACCTCTCTAGTTTTAAATAGAGAAAAAGAGTATTTTAAACTAGATAAAAATACAAAACAAACAGAGGTACAGCCTAGCATCGAAAGACGACCAGTACACCTTCCTATCATACACCCACCAAGTTGGGGATTTTAGATTTCAAATTACAGTTGCGATCGTATTTATGATCAACAAGTGTTATTACTATATTTATACCTGCTTATAAATAAATATCTAATCTCTGTCTCTTTTCACATTTAGGTATTTCTCTTTTCAGTTTAGGTGTTAAACTTTATTTCGATCAATTTAGATATCTAATGTTACTAATATTATCATTTGAATACCTTAGTCGTAGTAGACATTAAAAAGATACTATCAACCACTTAAAATGCGATATGTGACATGTTTATTAATTTTTTAAAGATAAATTATTATTATTATTTTTAAAATATCTAAAATGTTTCTAAAATCTCAATATTCTTAATCCCTAAGCATTCACCCCCACTCATCAGCCATTCATTGGTATTGCCGCCCAACCGACCACCTACCCATCCATCCCAGTCTACCAACCCATTGTCTACTTTCAATCGTAGCTTCAAACCTCTAAAATTGCTAAATTCAAATCCTAAATTCCTAAATTTCAACAAACATCTATCTCAATCGATGGGTGATTGTAGGGGAGACGTCGAATTCAAGTTCAAGAGCGATCAAATGGTGTTAAATGGTCAACCGTTGTGGCTAAAAAATCGAGGTAATACATTACTACCTTTAGCTTGCTTTATGAAACATGTTGGTATTGGTTAATGCATAGATGAATATATTTTGTCGCATGTATGTAGTTAATTATCTCTAAGCTCGATCCAAAAATAATAAAAACATAGTATCAAGTTTGAATTTGATGAAACGAGCTTCGAATTCGGATTCAAGACGTCGAAAACATAAAAAATGACTTTTCAAAAATTTTAACTTTTAGGTCAAAGTTAACAGTAAAACTTGGTCAAAGTTAAAGTCAAAGTTAACGGGTTTGGTCAACAGTTAGGTCAAAGTCAACAGTTTGGGTCAAAGTCAACAAGTCAGACTGATTCGAGTTGACTCAAACTGGTTTGGGTTGATTCATTTCGATCCGAGTTGACTCAAACCGGTTCTAGGGTGTTCCATGACCAGTGAGGAGCCCCACGCGCACACGGCGACACGTGACAACGCGTACTGCAGCAACAGGGCTAGGGGAAATGGTCGATTACTTTTGAAGCATTCTCACACCAAAACAATCCCAAATCAACTCAAAAATCAAGCCACAACCAAGCCAAACTCAATTAAAATGAATGAGCAAGGATTGAAAATGCTTACCTGATGTCGAACGGACAAAACAACGATGATGGAGCGATCCACCAGTTAGGTCTTGATCAGAATTGCATGCTGAGTTTGATGATATAGGAGGTGTTACGCTTGGGCCACGGAGGTGTCCAGAATCGAAGATTTTCAGAGGTGAAGTTTGGTTCTCGATATGACTTTGAGTCGTTTTCTACTGCAAACGGTGACGTTTCTTAACGAGGTGGCAGTTGGGTTTTGTTCGTAGGTTACCGGTGAACACGATAGTTGTCGCGGTGGATCGAAGGTATCGATGATGGGTGAAAGGTAAAAAGTTAGGCTTGGTGTTTCACGGGGGGTTGATTTTTACGGGGGAGAGGGAGACTAAAAAGCTGGTCTGATATATTTGAAATATATCATATATTTCTACAATAAATCATTAATTGCAATCTAGTCTGAATGGCTAGGGCGTAGGTTTAACTACCAGAATATGTGGGTTCTCAAATCATTAGAACCACACATTTTAATTTCTTACTTTTGTCATTTTTTACTAATCAAAGAATAATGGGTAAATTCAAGGCCAAGTCCCTGAATTTTTCTTCAGTTATAGTTTAGTGTAATATTTTAACATAAAGTGCTAAATTGTCCTTAAATTTCATTAAGGAAATATCATTATTAACCCGAAAAAAATTGGGGTGTGACAACTCTCCTCCTCTTAAAAGAATTTCTTCCTCAGAATTCACCTAAATCAACGCAGATGCGAAAACTGAGTCTTTATTGATTCCTCTGTCTCTTAGGTATCTTTTACAGGATTACGATTCCTCTACTAAACCTTAACCATTTGGATATGCGTTCTCTTTAGAACTTTTCCTTATCATAATTCCATAATTTAAGAAGAATTCTCCTTGAAGAACCATTCAAACCTTAATTTTCAATTCTTAATCAGAATAACACTTGCTTACCTTCATTGCAACATGCATACATAACAATACGTAATGAAATCACCTAGAGATTGACACTTTTACCATGTCCACAAACTCTTTCTTTTAATATCATATTGATCAAATCATTGAGATACAAGACTCAATACTTATTTAGTTTCAATCTCATAAAATTAGAACAAGAATGATTTCATAAATTCTTCAATTCAATTCATTAATACAAAACTTTAGGGGAAAACACATTGTCAAAGCTTAGATTGAATATCTTGCTCTCCAATCCCCTCAGATAAAAATTCTTAATCTCGAAACTTCACTTATAAAGTTTGCCTACGAGTTTAACATCGCAGAACATTTTGGGGTAACAAAACTCAGATCCAGGTCGGGAGTCGGGTAAGTATTTTCTAACAAGTAACTCATACATTACTAGCGAGGTGATTTCCAGAATCTGGAAAAATGTTAACGAAATTCTTTTTCCTTCTAAGATTGAACCTTATCAATCAGAATATTTGGGTTCACTTTGATACACTTATTACAAAAGGATAACTTGACATCAGAGTTCCGGCTCAAAAGAGTATGGTCATAATCTAGAGGCATATACTGACCAGACACCCTATGACAATCGATCGGTCGATCTACCCATAAAGAATCGACTCAACCTAGACTCCGATACCACTAAATGTAACACCCTCAGACCGATACAAGTGATTCAATCCGATCTGGTGTGTCACATTAGGGCCACCAGAGCGACCCTGACTGAAAATCCTGGAAAATTTAATTTTTTTAATCCATTTAAAATTATAAAATAATTTATAGATAAAATACATGTTCATAAAATCATTTATATATTAAAAATAGAATTCAACAATATCCAGTAATAAAACAAGTTTCAAACTCGAATATAAAAACAAAATACAACCTACATGCCCCCTAATTACATGCACCGTACTCCACAAGAAACATTGGTGGAACTTCTTTACTGATGTCGATAAAAGCACAGAATCAAACTCTTTAACCTGAAATGGTAAGTAACAGAGTGAGCTTGGGAAGCCTAGTAATACAGAACTACCAGATGAATGCAATAGGCCATCGAGTATAAGGTAAATAATAAATTTTCTTAACGATACATACATCATCAGGTTCTATTGTGAGATCATATTCATTAACTAATTTTTCAGGTAACAGTTGACAAACTTACAGTATGAAGGGAACGTTTAGAGAAACAGATTCAGAAGACTATGAAGAGGAGTCTAGTGTGTTCCAACAAAACCAGAGGGAGTGTACTGATCTTTTAAAACAGTAACAATTTAAAACATATTTTAAGACCACAGTAATAACCTCAAACGTAACACCGAAATGCAGTTCCCTAGAACTACATCCATAAGGACTTATCCTAGTTCCATTGGGCGTATGAGCCAACCTAAGGGAGTATCTTGGGGCATGAGAGCTTACCCCAGAGTGTTACTTAGGGCCTAAGAGCCTACCCGAGGGAATATCGTATGGCCTTAGAGACTACCTAATGAAATACCTTGGGGCCTCAGAGCTTACCCAAGTGTCACCTTAGGTCCGTAAGGATTTACCAGCTTGATCAGAGTTGAACCTCTATACTCCAGAATCCTACCAGATAATATCCCAATAAATCAGTTCATACAGTAAAAAGTAGATTCCATGATCCATAAATCAGACATGATTATATTTTTCGGTGAAAACAGGTAACCAGATAGCACATATCATGTAGCCATAGTTCCTAAATAGTAATTCAATACACCAGTAAATCAGAATATCGAGCAGTTAAAAGATTCAGTAAATCAGTAACTTCGGTAAATCACATTTCAGAACAGATAAAACAATCATATAGCACATATAGAACACACTATAGGATCCAGTTATTTTCCGAAGGTACTTAGTATTTATCAAATAGGGAACCATAAAACTTTTATAAATTGATAGAATTTCATAAACGAGATCCCTATTTAAAAGGATTCGATAACTAACAGATTAATCAATCAATCATAAAGCAATACATCAGGATCATTTAGTAATCAGTTATCGGCTTCCGAGTCCAATCAATATTAGTTATTATGGAATCTAAAGATGTACCCTTATTCCAAGTCGTTAGGGTATTTAAATAATTTAGAATCTCAAGGGTATATTAGTTATTATGGAGCTCAAGGGTACTTCGGTTATATGAGAGCTCAGAGTATTTTGATCAAGTTGAAGTTCATGGGTATTCTGGTAATTTAGGAGTTCAAGGGTATTTTGGTCATTTCATTCAATCCGGTTTTTCTATTTAATCCAATCAATTCATTTATGTTTGTCATTTAGAACAGTTCAGATATAAAAGGTACTTCCATGGTGTTAGTCTTTAAGTAAATGCTCAAAAATCGATAATTCTAGGTTTTGAGCCTTTACGGAGGTTATGAATTGATTATCAATGATTCTCTGAATAAATCATGAAATTAACAGGGGAATCAGTAATTTTATCAAGTCAAAACCCAATTCTTATGTCTAACAAGAGCAATTCTATGTCATTTTTACATCTCAGGGGCAATTTCGCAATTTCTTATCTGAGTATTTTTGGTATTACAACTTTTAACGTGGATAATCAAAATTTAAGGTTTATGCGATTAATCACTGCACTGATTAATCACTGAACTTGGAATTATT